ATCAGCAAGCTCAACAGGCTCGGTGGTTGAGCCCACAGTGCCACCCACACTTTTTTAACCTTTTTTACCTTTACCTACTAGGCTGACAGGATTTACTAAAACTGTTTTTTTCTGCAAAGAAAAGAGTTCAACAGTGGAACGGATTCTCGGTCGCGGCTCCAATCTGGTGGAACACTCTGTCACAAGAGACTAGGGCCCTGCAGGACCTGACATCCTTCCGCAGGGCCTGCAAGACAGAGCTGTTCCACCAGGCCTTTGGTCAGGGCGCAGCCTGACCCCCTCCTCTGGCAATCGGCAATCTGCACAGAATTTGGCTTGATGGTTGCCATTAATTTGATTTTAATTTGATTTAATTAATTTTATAATGAATGTTTTAGAATGTCGGATTATTTTGATTGTTGTTAGCCGCCCTGAGCCCAGCTTCGGCTGGGGAGGGCGGGATATAAATAAAATTTATTATTATTATTATTATTATTATTATTATTAATTATTATTATAGAAGGTGGTGGACTCTCCGTCTTTGGAAAGTTTTAAAGCAGAGGTTGGATGACCATTTGACATGGATGCTTTAGTTGAGATTCCTGCATTGCAGGGGGTTGGACTAGATGACACTTGGGTACCCTTCCAACTCTACAATTCTTTGATTCTAAGAGATGTTTGGTATGACCAGGTTTCTTACTCTCGGACCCTCCCATCTTTTCTTGGCACACTAAATACAAGCTGTTAACTGAGATTACTATTTGAACAATTCAAACAAGATTGGTTACTGTTATGAAGCAATCCCAAGAATGCACATCTGACCTAAAGCTCTGAAAAAGATAGAAAGCAAGTAGCTTATATGTTGTATTTTATTAGAGCTATGATTTTATGCATGTTAATGTTTCATTCTTAGCCAATCTAGGCTATATATTAATATAAAGGCAGTCTTCTAGTTTGTGTTATGAAACATTTTGTTCATTGAAATTCACCAAATGGATTGCTATGTTTGTTGGCAACATTGCAGGAAGGATTTACTTGTGCAAGAACCTGGGATATTGCGTGCTTCTAAACATCTCATTGGCCTTACCACTAAGTCATTATCTGAAATTTTGGAGCATCAAAAGGAGAACAGAATATTTTGTTCAGGAATGCGAGCCAATAAAATCCTGATGAGTGTAGTGCACATTAGCATACAAAATATAACAAACTAGAATGAAAAAGTGATTAAGCCAAGCAAAAATTAAGCCATTTAGCATTTACCTTAAGGCCTTTACACAGTCCTTGTTTTGTGAAGGTCTGGTGAGGAAGATGTACTAGCTACCAAATTATGTAATATTGGAGCCATCAGTGAGAAGTATGTGTTCTTCTTCCACACCAAGCTAATCTTACTAGCTTGTGTTCTCTTAGTAGAAGTGTCCTCTTGATCTTGATGAGAAAGCTCTGGTGCAATGGTTATGTATGGTATACTCCCCAAACCAGCATCTTGAGTTTTGCCCTGTAGCCAGTGCCATTGGCAGCGGACCAGCCTATTATTCTTTCTATTGTTGCATCAGTAGCTGCATTTTCTATCAGCTGCAGCTTCCAAGAGGTTATGAAGGGCCTCGGGTGTAAGGCAATTTATAGCAGTCTATCCTAGCAAGTAGGGACGCGGGTGGCACTGTGGGTTAAACCACAGAGCCTAGGACTTGCCAATCAGAAGGTTGGCGGTTCGAATCCCTGCGACGGGGTGAGCTCCCGTTGCTCGGTCCCTGCTCCTGCCAACCTAGCAGTTCGAAAGCACATCAAAGTGCAAGTAGATAAACAGGTACCGCTCCGGTGGGAAGGTAAATGGCAGTTCCGTGCGCTGCTCTGGTTCGCCAGAAGTGGCTTAATCATTCTGGCCACATGACCCGGAAGCTGTATGCCAGCTCCCTCGGCCAATAAAGCGAGATGAGCGCCGCAACCCCAGAGTTGGCCACAACTGGACCTAATGGTCAGGGGGTCCCTTTACCTTTACCGATCCTAGCAAGTTACAGGGTTAAGGCAATTAGCAGATTACCGTATTTTTCGCTCTATAACACGCACCTGACCATAACACGCACATCGTTTTTAGAGGAGGAAAACAAGGGAAAAAATATTCTGAATGAAACAGTGGACGTATCATTTTTGTGCTTCATGCTGTGGCCACAGACATGTGATCTGATGGTGAATTTGGGGTGACCCAATGCAAAAATCCTGAGAATCCCTGTGGATCCATGCTTTGTAACCACGTTTTTGCACCATTGCAGCCCCAGGCAACAGTGGGTGCGTGATTTTTTTGGGGGGCAGGCTGTAGCCATGGACATGCTATGTGCTCTGATGGTGAATTTTGGCTGACCCAATGCAAAGATCCTGAGGATCCCTGTGGATCCATGCTTTGTAACCACGTTTTTGCACCATTGCAGCCCCAGGCAACAGTGGGTGCGTGATTTTTTTGGGGGGGGGGGGACAGGCTGTAGCCATGGACATGCTATGTGCTCTGATGGTGAATTTTGGCTGACCCAATGCAAAGATCCTGAGGATCCATGTGGATCCATGCTTTGTAACCACGTTTTTGCACCATTGCAGCCCCAGGCAACAATGGGTGTGTGATTTTGGGGGGGCAGGCTGTAGCCATGGACATGCTGTGTGCTCTGATGGTGAATTTGGGGTGACCCAATGCAAAGATCCTGAGGATCCATGTGGACCCATACTTTTTAACCACATTTTAAGTGGGGAGGGAAGGAAAAACACAGAAGGCTAAGAATGCAGGAGAGGGCTATAACGTGAGGAAAGGAAGGCAAAAGTTTCCCCCCACCCACCCACACAAGCCAGCCAGCGTGCGCTCTCTCTCTCTCTCTCTCTCCCTCTCCCTCCCACCAGCATGACAGAAGAAAGCATTTTAACTGCATTAAGAACTATTTAGCAGCGAAACCTAAGCTTTGCCATCCCTTAAGAGGTACAGACACTGTAATCTTCCAGATCGCATGAATTTACAGGCAAAACACTGTTTAAGGATTTCATCCTTTTAAATGGAAGAAAGCATATTTGAATGCTGTGTGTCTCCAAAAACAAAAAGCAGGAAGTCAAATCAGAATTTTAAGCCGAACCTGTAATCTCTCTTCCCTTCACAAACATTGTTCCCTCCGGAGCAGGGAGAGGAATTAGAAAGACGCTCTGCTCTCCTCTCTTCTGCCTGGAGGGGAGGGCTTTCCCTGCTCTTTGTTCCGTTGAGCAAACACACAACGAAACAGACAGTGGGCCATAAGACCCTGAGCAAATGCAGAAAAGCAACAGCTTCCTCTCTCAGCGGAGCTCCCTTCCCCGAAGCGCGCTTGATTTTGCCTCATTTTTCGCCCAGGACCACACATTCGGCAAACCGCACAGACATTCCCCTCCTTTTAGAAAAATCTGCGGTTATAGCGAACATACGTATTTCCCACTCCATGATGCTGTACCAAGGATCTCCAACAGTAATCCAATCACCTGGAGATCCAGCCGTAAGATCGGGACCGTCCCCCACCCAAAAAAGAAAAGAAAAAAACCTCAAACAACCTGGACTCCCAAAAAAAGCCTCCAGTTTTTTTTATCAAGGGGAGTCGATTCATCCTTGAACAGCGACAGCCCGCTGTAGTCTGAACTAATGAAGATGTGAAATATATCTCTGGCTACTTTTGGTGGTTCAGGCAGCAGTCGATACCTCCTGCTTCCTTTTCCACTTCAGTACTTAATATGGCTGGGTGATATTTGCTTTTCAACATTGTGATATATCACCATCCAAACATTGTGATGCAGTGATACATCATGATGTTGAAAATTGGAGGGAGGTACAGTGCCGAGACCGATGCAGTTTGTTCCTCCCTCTGCTTGCCAGGCACTGTAGGTGGAGAAGGGCCTCGGGAGCGATGGCAGTTTCACTCATGATACAGTGGTGCCTCGGGTTAAGAACTTAATTCGTTCTGGAAGGTCCGTTCTTAACCTGAAACTGTTCTTAACCTGAGTTACCACTTTAGCTAATGGGGCCGCCTGCTGCCGCTACACCACCACCGCACGATTTCTGTTCTCATCCTGAAGCAAAGTTCTTAACCCGAGGTACTATTTCTGGGTTAGCAGAGTCTGTAACCTGAAGTGTCTATAACCTGAAGCGTCTGTAACCTGAGGTACCACAGTATACCGCTGGGTGAAGTTGCTATTGCACTCTGGCCCTCAAACTGGTTCTGGCCTATGTATCAATGCATCACCCAGGCCCTAGTACCAATTCTGAAAACAGTTGGAACCATAAGACTTCAAATATGGATTACCTTAATTTATGCCTGGGCTGTAAGCTTTATTTATGGCACCATTATTATTTAAAGGACTGGCTACGGAAAGGACAGTAGCACCACAGTACACCCAGGTCCTGCTGTCCAAACACTCATTATACAAAAATTCACTTATCCAAACACAAGGAATTGGTACCAAAATCTCGCTATACACACTGCAGATTCAGGTATCCAAACAGCCCAACGGATTTAAAAACACTTAGGTCAGAGTCTACTAGGCAGCCTACCTGGTGTTTTACATCAATCTCTAATCTTGAGGAGTAACAATATCCAGGGGCCAAATGTTCTGGGAGGTTGCATTACAACAATACCTAAAAATTGTCAGTCATGCAGATGAGAAGGTGCTGCATGGCAGGAATTCTACAAACCCATTCAGGTGTTGTGCATTCATCATTCAGAAGCTGGGTACCCTGTACAAACCCTGGGGAGCTGTAGAAAAAGCTCTGGTTAAAGAAAATATTGTTTTGTTTTTTAAATTGATACAATATTTATAGTGTTTGAGAGCAACACAGGCCAGGATTGCAGTCAAGATGGGTAGTCCAAAATGTGATTGTTGTAGGTTGGCAGGGGTTTTCATGGGGCTTCAGAGAAGGCTGTAGAGAGCAAGACATGGTGCTGGTTGTGTACACTGGTAAAGTTCAATCTGAAACTTTTAAGGAATTGACTAGTCCTGCCTTGCTAACAGCTCTCTTTTCCTTGTAGCTCCCGCATATCGCTCAGAATGGAGGCTTGTATAAAAGACCTTTCAATGAAGCTTTTGAGGAAACACCAATGCTGGTTGCTGTACTGACTTATGTAGGCTATGGTGTCCTCACCCTTTTCGGGTATCTTCGAGACTTTCTGAGGCATTGGAAAATCGAGCACTGTCATAATGCAACAGAAAGAGAAGAACAAAAGGTAAGTGCTTGCTGTTACCTTTGCTTCAGAGACAAGGTGGGGTTGAACAAGTTTGTGGTGAAGGAGATGTAGCTAGTCTTTTGTAACTATGTGTTTGGCTTAGACTGCATTTGGACATAGGGCCAAGCCATAGTTTGTGCTAATTGCTAATTTAGCTGAAATCCTGGCTGTGTCCTAGAATATCAGCCAAAACATGGTTTGTGAGGGTTTTCTATTCCTCTTTCCTTAATACTGCCCATGGTATTCTAAGCTACCCTGCATTGGTGAACTATCAGCATAATGTTGCCCCATGAGCTGCTCTCTTACTATTGGCAAGCAGCTGAAGTGGAGCAGGGAGACGAATACTTTCTTCCGTGGGCTGATCTCAGCACAGCTGAAAATAAAGTGGGTTCTTGTGCGCAATTCCCTTGCCCTTTTGCAAGGTTGTCTGAGATACCTCTCTTTCTTCCTCTTTCCCACTATTTCCAGGGTTAATTTACTGCTGATGATTTCATTAGTTATTTTAATGTAAATGGCAAGTAGCTGCAAGGCACGTAGGTACCCCAAATGTTACCAAAGTATGACACTTGAGGCGAAGATGCTTACAAATCTCTCTCACACCTTGCAAGTAAGCATTAAATAGCATTATGTACGTGGTTGACTGTTCCCCTTTCCTATTCAAGCCCTCTTACTTAAAAGCTATTGATTATTATTTTTTAACAAAGAAAGGCAATCTTTAGGCACCCACTCAGTCACAGCTTAAACCTTCTTAGAAAACATTTTTCAGTCTACCATCACACAGCATTAAGACCTGTGTGACGTTCCTGTTTCCAGGTTTACTCTTACAGTGCATAAATTACACCACCTCTTCCTTTGGTAGGTCTTTCCATGCTCCCTCTCAAGCCCAATATATTTTTCAACATAGGTCTCTTTCACAAAAGTGGGAGAAGTGTAGCAACATTTTTATTTTGAATTGTTTTGCATCTATATTGCTCCCCAGCTAAGGGACTGCACATAAAAGTTTTCTCAAAAACGTAAGGTGCTTGTTTTTTAAAACAAAACAAAACTAAGAGGCCTTCAACCAAAAATGTTTAGTGGTTTTCAGACGTTATAGAATAAATTGTTTTTCAGAGAACTTACTTTAAATTATTAGAACCAGAAGCAGCAATTTTACTCTATTTCAAAAAAAATATTTGTATCCACATAACTGAAAATTGTTTTTAGCCTAATAGTGTAGTGCTTCTAAACATTTTTAAAAGCAAGTTTAAACTTTTAACGACTACTTCCTTTCTGAGTCTGGCGGGCTTTCGTCATGTTGAACCTGAAGTACAGTGGTGTGGTGCATTGGTGCTGGTGGAAGATTGATTTATATTCCACCAGTGGAACTTGGTATGGTACGGGTTTTGGCTAACAGGGATGCAGCCCTTGAATTGTCACTTCTAGGCACATCATCTAGAGCAGGCATCATTCCTGACCACTGGTCCTGTTAGCTAGTGATGATGGGAGTTGTAGTCCCAAAACAGCTGGAGGGCTGAGTTTGGGGATGCCTGATCTAGAGTGTTCCCTTCAATTTGAATTTATATCAGAATAGCACAGTTAGGTACTGGCAGCATTTGTTGCCTCAGGGGCAGTGTGTGTGGTATGGGTAAACGGGGGTTGGGGGTGGGGAGGATGTTTCCTGATTAGTGATACCAAAATGTTCAGGCAGCCTGGTCTAGTTTCTACTGCCTCAAAGTATGCTTAGAAGTGGCTTCTCTTACTGATTGCCAAAGGCAGCAGGTGGAGTTGAGTGCATATTTCATGCCTTTATTAGCTTTCTTCATGTCCCAATCAGCGGGCATGTAGTTATCTGCACATCTTAGATTCTTATTGGGAGACTTAATTGAAGAGGTTTAAATATGATTGGGACAAAATATAATTAGGTTTAGCTTGCATGTGCAGAGGAGTTTATATAACAAGTAACCACAGAAGGGGGGGAGGGGTTGATATTAATATTGCGTATGTGAAATTTGTTGTATAAAATGATGTTTTGATTATGTAAAATTAGAAAATGGAAAAATAAAATATTATAAAAGGCTGAGAGGTGTATGGGTTGTCTTAGGGATTTGTTTTTGTTTTTGCAGAGTAGGACACAACAGATAGGAGATCATTCAACAGTAAATGGTGCCTTGAAGAGTGCTGTACTATGAGCTTCTTGTTACCAAAGGTTATTAAAAGATTCTTATTGTAATATTGTCTGCCTAGGTATGTTAGGGAGAGGCAGACTAAGGGCTTATGTTGTGAAAATGCCTGTGAGACGTATTTTGTTGCTGGTGAAATGTTATCATCCTCCATGATCCATAGTCTGGCAGACTTCAAGGGCGGAATGTGCCAAACCACAGTTGGTGCAAACTGACTTTGCAAGACAGCTTCCAACTTTGATTTCGAACCTTGGTTTGTTGGCCTTTCCTCAAACTTCTTACAATGTATGGATTGGCTCTGCTTCTGAATGTTACAGTGTCTTGGTAATATGAGGGATTTACTTGAAATTTTAGTGTAGTGGGCAGAAGGTTTGGGCACATCCAGACAGCTGTGGGAAATCGTCCAAAGATGCTAAGTTACTGTCTGTCATTTACCTCTGCTCTTAAGTTTACTAATTTTATACCTTGGGTAGGCCTTGGAACAAGACTTCGTAGATACAGGGGTTTAATTTCATTGCACTGGTGTACTCTCTAAAACAGTGAGGTCTGCATTTTCAGAATGAGCTTCGGTGACTTAAAGGTTTTCTGGCTACTAAAGGTAAAATAAAGTGGTTGAGTTGAAAGAATGCAGCTTGCTAGCAGATTACTCAGGTGACTCATACAGCAGATTTCTTCAGCCATGCTCTGCTTCCCTGAATCCTGCTTGATTGCTCTTACTGAGAAATAACTACTACTGGGAATGTGGTTTGGTTTTCCTCATGTTTCTGCCAAAGGAATGAAGTTAGCATATCATCAAAACCAGGGCAGCCTTGCATTTCTTAAAGCCTCACTTAAGGGGTGTGGAGGCCTTGTGGGTTGGAGGTGTTAGTTTCTGTTCTTATCACTGTGCAGCTGCTTGGAGTCACAGGACTCTGTTTACATTCCGGGGATTCCAGGCTATTGGAAGTCTCACGGGAGAGGAGACGGGATGTGACGTTAGTGGTTTCCTGTTTCCTTTGTTCCTTTGTTCTGTTGCTCTCTGCTTTCATAGAGAGAGGATGTCTTTTCTGTCTGCGTAGCTTAGGAATAAAACTCTTTGCAATGTAGCCATAAATCTTCTCACTTCTGCATGCTGCTGGAAACTCTGCTTAATGGAATGTGCCTGAGGCCTCATCAAAGGCTCAGGTCGTTAATTATTCATCAGAGGTGATTCCGAAGGCTCGGCCGGAGGAAAATGAGACTTTATCAGCTTGGCCGAGCGGAAATGCTGATATTTGTGGTCATGGGCCCAGGCGAACAGCAGAAGAACGGAATGCAGGTTATCTTCTCTGCGTGTCAAGAAGATTGATGAGAGGTATGTGCTCTTGCCCCGGGAAGCCTGCCAGTCCCTGGTTAAGGTTGGACTTTGAACTTCTAGCCAAAGCACTTACCGGCAGTGGCAGAAGAAAGCAAAGGCCTCACATGTGCTTTTGGAATGCAGCTGGTAAATAGACGCAGCTTGCTTTAAATGACACAGAAGGCTAATGCCAGAATAATGGAGGCCCTTTGAAATGCCATGGCAGTTCCAAAGCTCCAAATTTTTTTTATCAAAACTAGGTGCAGTATGCAGAGGCTCTGCTAAGAAAAGAGGGTCTGTTTAATGTGATATCAGATGCCGCCCGCCCCCCAGCTCCAATGACCGAAGAATGGGAGGCTAAGGCTTCCAAAGCAAGGGGAACTCTGATGGTTATTGTGTCTCCTGAAGAGCTATGTCTTTTGCGTGACAAGGCCTCAGCCAGAGAGATGTGGGAGAGTCTCCAAGAGTCACATTTAAGAACAGAGGTGGGAACTTCTTTGTTCTTTTATGCCAAGTTGCATGATATGGCACTTGTTGATGTAGCAGACGTATGTGCTCACCTCATGGAAATGCAGAATCTAAGGCATGAGTTGCAACAGTGTGGAATCACCTTTCCAGAGGCTGTGTATTCCTTCATGATTCAACATTCTTTGGGTTCAAGTTGGGAAGCGATTGCCAGCCAGCTTGCTGTTTTGCCAACTGCTTAGGTAACGGTAGCGCATGTTACTGCTGTGGTGTTAAATGAAGCGGATCGGCGTAGTGCTAGTTGCATCACCAAGGGGGAGTCCTCACATACGTCATCCCAAAATTCAGTGGAACCACTAGATGGCGCCAAAGCTTTGAAGGCAGTGAAATGCTACTCGTGTGGACGTCTAGGCCACGTGAAGAGGGAATGTAAATATCCCAAGGCCAAGGCAACAGAGCAGCACAGTGAAAGCTCAATGCGTGGAAAAGGCAAAGGTCAGAAGTGCAGGACAATGCAACACAAGGCAATGGTCTCACGCTTCACTCCAAAGGTCCAGAAGATGTCTAGATCTTTCTTCATTTTTGACTCTGGAACTACCAGGCACGTTTGTCGGGACAAACACCTGTTCGTGTCCTTTACTCTGCAGGAAGGTGCGATTCACCAAGCGGATGACCACACAATCTCCAGTCAAGGCTATGGAACGGTTGTTCTTCACAGCTTGGATGCATCGATACACAACGTTCTTTTCATTCCAGATGCTGCACACAACCTACTGAGCATCTCGCAGCTGACTGAACAGGACATAGACGTTTCCTTCAAGAAGAGGAAGTGTACCATCACCAAGAAAGATGACTTTGTATTGCATGCTGATTATGTTGATCATTTGTTTGAATTGCATTATGATGATTCTGTTGATGTTGTGCAGGATGAAACTTGTTGTATTGCAGATACTAACAAGGTTTTGCATGCAGGATGTATTCATGATTATCACAGGAAACTTGGCCATTTAAACTTCGAGGCAGTTTCCAAAATGCCTACCTTAGTTGAAGGTATTAAACCC